TAAACCTCATATGAATAATAAATTGATCTAAATTGTCGGACGCTATACCTTGATAAGGAAAGCGTAAATTGACAGTAGAATTGCTACTCTCTTAAAACGTTCGTGTTAAATTCAACTCGAATTGATTGACTTTTCCCTCTCGCCCGAACTGAAGCAAGTGATCAATAATATTAGAGTGACTCAATTTTAAAAAAAACGAACGAACGAAGAGAGAGCGGAATACCTGTAAGGAAAGCAGAACTAGGAATTTTTCTTTTTACGGCTATTTCGATTTTGGCTATTAGCTCATCGCTGCTGGCATGCACACTTTCTGGTTGATAGGCACGCGAACACACATGTGCGCACACAGACACCACTACGCACGCTACGCACGCTACACACGCTACTACACGCTACGCACGCTACTACACGCTACGCACGCGGACACACGTACACGCAACCAAACTCCACGGCAGATGGCGCTCTCGCCCTGGCTCAATTCATCCTGAGTTGTACGATGGGGGCGCTGCATGCAGTTTGACACGCAAATACACAAATACACAGACACGATCGCAGATACTCACGAGAGCGACACGGGGCGCGTATCTACCCTCGCATTCACCAACGTACTATACGTACGTACGTACGTACGCAGCTACTCACGCACCCGTACAGGCAAAGCAGAAATGCACTAATATACGCACGCACGCACGCACCCTCACAGGCAAAGCATACATGCACTAATACACGCACGCACGCACGCACGCACCCACACAGGCAAAGCATACATGCACTAATACACGCACGCACGCACGCACGCACCCACACAGGCAAAGCATACATGCACTAATACACGCACGCACGCACGCACGCACCCACACAGGCAAAGCAGACATGCACTAATACACGCACGCACGCACGCACGCACCCACACAGGCAAAGCAGACATGCACTAATACACGCACGCACGCCGCCGGTGGCGTGTGTGGCATGGCGCGGGAACGTAAATGCAGTAGCTACTTTCGCCCGACTACTCTAAGTACATTACCGCGTTGAAAATTCGCGGCAAATAATCTTTTTACACTCAGCAGCGTAAAAAAAAAAACGTGTTTACGTGTTGGTGTCAAAACAGGTGCGATTTGTTGATTGCGGACCAAAGCTGGATTACGCACTCTCGTATATACGCGTGTGTATGGTGACGACATTTGGATAGAAATGTTTCCAATAATAACCAGCGCTTACCACCCTGCCGCATGTATCGACAGATTAGAGTCTGTGCGGAATCGAAAGGAAAATGTCGCAAATCTCCATGCGCGCAACACGCACACGCCACACAGATAGTTTTAGAACGGAGAATGATCAATGAGAGAGAGATGGGGATGTATATAAGCGTGTTTGTGAAAGAGATACCGAGAGAGAAAATAGAGAGAGAGGGGGAACACGCGCCTGCCACGTTCTTAATGCGGTAAAAACGAATGCATTGTATATATATAATAATATATATATATATATACATATATATATATATACTGTCTGTGTTTCCCGGAGACGATATACGTACACCGACTGCGCTTACATTGGCTAGCAGACTCCAGCGGTTGACATTTTGACTCCCGATTCATCGCGGGCTTGGATGATACTCGACCTGCTCAAAGAGCGAAAGCAATGCTTACATTAGTAGATGTGAAAAAGGGAAACGTTTTGCAACTATACATGTTGGTTTCACGCGAGATGTGTGTGTATATATAATATATATAATATGTGTGTGTGTGTGTGTGTGTGTGTGTGCGTGTGGCGTGCGTGTGTGTGCGTACGTGCGTGCGTGCGTGCGTGGCGTGCGTGCGTGCGTGCGTGCGTGCGTGCGTGCTGTGTGAACGGAGAATAATTCAAATGAGAGAGAGAAATGGGGATGTATATAAGAGTGTTTTGTGAAGAAACACAGAGAGAGAAATAGAGGAGGGGGGAACACGCGCGCTGCCACGTCATTGATATGCGGTAAAAACAAATTCATATATATAGTATATATATATATATATATATATCAGGAGTAGATAATAGGGAAGGAGTGTGACATCAATAACAAAGGGAAATTCGTCAATTTACTAGCTTTAAAATACCTACAATTTACTACGCGTAACTCATCCAACTTGAGCTCAAATCGTAACAGTACATTCGCGCCTAGCATCGACGAAATCGTTTCCGTCGTATACACAAGCAATCGCGGAGATACAGACTAAAACGTATGAGCACGATTATCCATTCTTTGGCCATCAATCGAGGCCGATTGCCCGCCTATACTCAAACAAAGCAGCTACTAATGCGCTATTGCTAACTGCGGCGAGGCATGTGGCTCGCTGGCAGATTAGGCATCACGCAAACTCATCAAGGCGAGATAACCTTTGACCGCTACACAGTACAAATACCGGCATACAGCTGACATGCCCGCCACGCACGCACGCCAACCGAATCAGCAGCACCAGATCGGGCTCAAATCTCGCCAGCGAGGCCACATTGGCCCACC